TCTCGGCCCCCCAGGCCTCCGGTCCCGCCCACTGGCCCCTCCGAGTCCTTCGGCCACCCCCACCCCATGACCCGGGGAACCCGAGCTGACCCTTCACACGGACTCAGCAGGCAACCAGAAACTCGACACGCTACAAATGGACCTTCTTTGCCCCAAGTAGGTTTCCGTTTCCGCCTCCGCCTAGGAGACTTCCGGGAGAGCCCGGCGCTCGCAGCCGCGCTTGCGGCCTCTCTAGCTCCACCCTCTGGGTGCACTTTATGGTTGCAATCAGCCGGTTGTGACGTCACCTCGCCCCGCCCCCAGCATGCTCACACTCAGGCATTCACTCATTCGCCATTCATTCATTCTTCATTCATTCCTTTAAGAACTTTTAAAATATATATATATATTTCTTTATTGATTTCAGAGAGGAAGGGAGGAGAGAGAGATAGAAACATCAATGATGAGAGAGAATCATTGATTGGCTGCCTCCTGCACACCCCCTACTGGGGATCGAGCCTGCAACCCAGGCATGTGCCCTTGGCCAGGATCGAACCTGGGACCCTTCAGTCCACAGGCTGACGCTCTATACACTGAGCCAAACCGGCTAGGTCTCCTTTAGGAACTTTTTAAAAATAATCCTTTATTGTTGAAAGTATTACATATGTTTCCCCACCCCCACCCGCCCCACCCCCAATTGACCAGGAACATTTTAGGAGGCACAATTGACCAACACTTGTGGCTGGTTGGATGTGAGGCATACAAGAGGAGCCGGGGATGTCTCACAGATGAGTTGATGATGGAGAATTAACTGAAATAAAGCCTGAAGAAGAAGAGCAGGTCTGGGGAGGGTGACATATTGAATGTGAGGTCTGAGACAGATGTGGTGGGATCTGGAGCCCAGTGGAGAGTGAAGCGCTGAGATTTGGGGCTGAAGCCTGGGGTGGATGAGGTCACCCATGCGGGTGAGACCAGGTGAGAAGTGAGAGCAGGACAGAGGCTGGAGAAAGAGGCGCAGTCAGAAAAGTAGAGGAAACCAGGCTGAAGAAGGTATTGGGGAGAGGAGAGGATGGATGAAGCAGAGTCTTAGGGAGGAAAGGGTGTGGGGCTGACTGGCTCCCACTATGTTCCCCTTGCATGTGCTTGATATCTCACTCGGCAGCCACTTTCTGTCCCTTGGCTAGATGGTGCTGATCAAGGGACGTGCACTCGTGGACAGGATATACTTGACCCACATTTTGTAGGATCTACAAAAACCACAAGAGCTCTCAGAATGTTACAGTGAGGGCAGAGAGTGCTTGGAGCCCTTTTCCTCCCCTCAGCCCTCCTGTGGCCATCCACACTCCTCCAGAGAGCCCTCCACAATTGCACTAAATGTGCCCTTCCCCTGCCCCCAAGGCACAGTTCCATAACACCATCTTCCTAGGGACACACCAAGCTGCTACTGGGTCAGTCATAACATGTCTGCTTTTGTTGATTTGTATCATATATAACACTGTCCCAGGCAGGTGGTGAGCTCAGGAAAAGGACCCACAACTTGTCAGAGCCTGTGCTTCTAGGAACACTCAGCAAAATGTGGGTGTGAGTGTGTGTGTGTGTGCATGCATGCTGTTGTATATCCTCTTCATCCTCCCCAGTTCATCTCAGACCCACTCCCTCAGTCCCCTCCCTAATAGCTCTTCACCTGGTTCACTCTACCAGGAATTCCTCTAACCCTCTTCATCTGTCCAAATCCTCCTCATCCTTCAAGGCCTGGCTCAAGGCTGCCTCCTCTAAGAAATTTTTCTCCCCACTCTACCATCACCATGACTCTCTGCCCTTCATTCTCTACCAACCTCTTTCATTGGTTTGTCTTTAATTAGATACAGCCTTGTCTTGCTGGCCAGTGGTTTAGGCATTTAATCCTAATTCATTTGTCAGCCCTATAGCATGCTCAGCAGGCTGAGTACACAGCCTAGGTACAAGAAAATACTGGTTGGTGCATGTTCTGGTGTGTGTGTGTGTGTGTGTGTGTGTGTGTGTGTTTATGTGCATATTTATGGTCTGTGGATCCTGAGGGGTCTACAATGTGACTGAATGCATATATTTTGTGTAACCATTCATTTAGTCAAATGACATTTATTGTGCTTACGGGTGTGCAGCTTGTGGGTGTGAACCCTGTTAGTGTGCTATGTATATTGTGAAGGCATTTGGGGCATCACTGTGATGTGTATATTTAGTATGCCTGGGCACATATGAATCGTTGATATTGTGGGTTGTATCTGTGCAAAAACACAATGATAAGAGTAAGAGACAAATTTGGGTCCTTCCTCTGCCACTTACTTCGACCTGATTTCAAGCAAGTCATCAAATTCTTTGGGCCTCAGCTTCCATATTTATAAAATAGGAAAGATTAACACTTATGATCCTAGGATTGTCTACCTACTAGAGGTCTATCTTGTAGGATGTGAAAATGAAGGAGACATAACTGGTGTGAAGTGCCCAGCACAGTGGCAAATAACATTAACTGAGGGTTCCATTTCCCTGTGTGTGTGCATCTGTGCATATGCATATGTGTGTGTGTGTGTGTAAGCAAGAATCCTGAGCACAGGGAGTGTCTAACCTGGGCTTCTAGACATCCTTTTCTCCCCGTGCAGCCTATGCCTGAGCTTCTACCCCAGAGTCTGGAACCTAACCAAATCTAGTCTCAGCAGATGTAGGAGGGACATGTCCCTGCTGGGAGCAAGACTAGGACTCAAAGCGGCTTCGGAGGAGCTTGAACTTGGACTTGTTGAACTTAGTGATGAGGTCCAGTTTGCTGTGGCCCAGGGTCAGCCGTTTCTCATCCCCAAATGGGCCATTGCTACTGCCATTGCAATGGTCACCTGTGGGTCTCCCCGGGAGGCCATGCTCAGGTCCCTGCCTGGCACCCTGCAACTGATGATACTTGGTGATGAGGTCCAGCTTGCTGTGGCCCAGGGTCAGCCGCTTCTCATCCGCAGAGCCCACTCCAGGCTTGCGAGCATGGCTTGGTCTAGGGAGACTATTGGGCCCCGGCCCCTCACCCCGGAATGGGCCAAACTTTGTGATGAGGTCCAGCTGGCTGTGGCCCAGGGTCTGCCGTCGCTCATCTGGACCCTGCTTGCCAGCCCTGGCTGAGGAGTTGGCTTCAGGGGGCACTCTGGAGCCCCCAGTCTTAGGGTACTGTGGCAGGAGGTCCAATTGGCCATGGCTGTGGTTTGGAGGCAGCCTCTTATGTTCTGGGTTCCCATTGCCAGGTCTGGGGGAACCTGACTCAGGGGCACCCCCAGCACCTTGGGCCTGGGGCAGGAGATCCAGCTGGTTGTATCTCTGGTTTGGGGACAACCTCCTGTCCTTTTGGGCCTGCTCACCAGGCCACAGGGAGTCTGAGTTGGAGGTAACACGAAGATCAGGGCCTCTTGCTTCTCGAGCTCTGGGAAAGGGGATGAGGAGATCCAGCTGGCCATGGCTCTGACTCAGAGACACCTTCTTCTCCTCCACTGTCTCCAGGGCTGTGCCAGGTACCCAGCGACCTCGTTGGGGGCAAGGCTCCTGGCTTCCTGGGAGCCCATTCTCTGGGAGCCTAGATAGGGCTGGGACACCCCGGGAGAAGGGGAGGAGGGAGCGTGGGCGAGTAAGCAGAGGTGACCCCACTGCCAGGGTCAAGGGGCTGGTGCTACTGTGGTTGAGGGCAGGGGAGGACTGGGACCATGGGGACGCCCCCATCTTGCCCAGGTTGGCCCTGCAAGGCCCTGGTGGTGAGCCATGGTTAGGATCTGACAGCTGGCGTTGGAGGGAGGGCTGGGCACTGGCTTTGCGACAAGTAGGGCCTGGGGATGAGGACCCCATTCCTGTGTCACTGCAGCCACCGCCTCCTGGTAGAGCAAGGTAGGAGGAGCGGCCCATGAGAGGGGAGTGCTTGATGCTGCTGAGGCTGGTGCTGGAGTGCGATGAGGACCTGCGGCTTGGGATGCTGGGCCCGAAGGCCAGGGCCACCAGGGGAGGGCACGGTGCCCTGGGATCCTCGCCGCCGCAGAAGCCCTCCACAGGCCGTGACTCGGCATACAGACAGCGGAACTCCCGGTCAAAGTCTTCCACGATGCGGCCCCGCAGCTGCAGCACCATGCTGGTGTGGGCCTGGCTGCAAAGCCAGGTGAAGCTGCGGGCAGAGTGTCAGGGTCAGGAAGCAAAGTGCAGAACTCTGGGCCTAGGCAGGCGTCACAGCAAAAGACAGCCCCACCACCACCACTCCAAGTGAGGGGGCAGAGCTCTGACTACAGAGTTTGTACGGGTCCTAGCCTGGCTTGGTGACTTGGACACATGATTTCCCGTCCCAGGGCCTCAGCTTGCCCGTTTATAGAATGGACCAGGGGCAAGGTTCTCTGAAGTCCCTCCAGTTCCGAGGTAAAATAGTTATTTTCTATGCCAATAGCATTAAAGTAATCCTTCCACATAGGAACCACTTCCAGGGCCCAGCCTGGGGCTGTTTCACTCCCCCCCCCTACACTGTCCCCTGAGCCCTGCATAGTGCCTGGCAGGTGGCAGCTGTTCAGCCCATGTTGGAAGAGATGGATGAGTGAATGAAAATTCAAAACTGCCAAATCCCCGGTGCCCCTGCCAGCCAGTGGCCCAGCCCCAGGCCCCTCTGCCTAGTTCCCGCTCGCTCACCTGTAGCTGCCCGCCACCACCTGCTCACAGTCGATGATGACGAACTTCTCCAGGGCCTGCCCCGTGAAGCGGCGGCCCGCCTTGCTGCAGTATGTGTCCCCACATGTGCTCCGTACACGCATGTTCTGAACCAAGGAGGGGTGAAGGTTGGGGG